TCAACAGTGACGCCGTGCTCCCCAGCCGGGTGTACTGGATCGCCTCTGTCATCCAGGCAGCAGGCTATCGGGTGCTGCTCCGCTATGAAGGCTTTGAAAATGATGCCAGTCATGACTTCTGGTGCAACCTGGGCACCGTGGACGTCCACCCTATCGGCTGGTGTGCTATCAACAGCAAGATCCTGGTGCCCCCACGGACCATCCACGCCAAGTTCACCAACTGGAAAGGCTACCTCATGAAGCAGCTGGTGGGCTCCTGGACACTGCCTGTGGATTTCCACATCAAGATGGTGGAGAGCATGAAGTACCCCTTCTGCCAAGGCATGCGCCTGGAAGTCATAGACAAGTCCCAGGTGTCACGGACCCGCATGGCCGTGGTGGACACAGTGATCGGGGGTCGCCTGAGGCTCCTCTATGAGGATGGTGATAGTGATGACGATTTCTGGTGTCACATGTGGAGCCCCCTGATCCACCCACTGGGATGGTCATGGCGTGTTGGCCACGGCATTAAGATGTCAGAGAGGCGAAGTGACATGGCCCATCACCCCACCTTCCGGAACATCTACTGTGATGCTGTCCCTTACCTGTTCAAGAAGGTACGTGCTGTCTACACAGAAGGTGGCTGGTTTGAGGAGGGGATGAAGTTGGAGGCCATCGACCCCCTGAACCTGGGGAACATCTGCGTAGCAACCATCTGCAAGGTCCTCCTGGACGGCTACCTGATGATCTGTGTAGATGGGGGACCCTCCACCGACGGCTCTGACTGGTTCTGCTACCACGCCTCCTCCCATGCCATCTTCCCAGCCACCTTCTGCCAGAAGAATGACATTGAGCTCATGCCCCCAAAAGGGTATGAGAGCCAGACCTTCAACTGGCAGACTTACTTGGAGAAGACCAAATCCAAAGCGGCTCCAGCGAGACTCTTCAATATGGACTGCCCCAACCATGGCTTTAAGGTGGGCATGAAGCTGGAGGCCGTGGACCTGATGGAGCCATGTCTCATCTGTGTGGCTACAGTGAAGCGGATGGTGCACCGGCTGCTCAGCATCCACTTCGACGGCTGGGACAGCGAGTATGACCAGTGGGTGGATTGTGAGTCCCCGGACATCTATCCCATGGGCTGGTGCGAGCTCACCGGCTACCAGCTGCAGCCACCAGTGGCCACAGAACCGACCACACCTCTGAAGGCCAGAGAGGCCACAAAGAAGAAAAAGAAACAGTTTGGGAAAAAAAGGAAAAGGATCCCGCCCGCCAAGTCCCGGGCCCTCAGACAGGGCTCCAAGAAGCCCCTGCTGGAGTATGAGCCGAAGGCTATAGGGAAGGTGGAGTCGGAGCCTAGGCCTGGAGACATCATTACCGTGTGTGTGAAGGAGGAGCACCTGGACACGGCCTCGCCCAGCAAGGCTGCCAGCCTGGAGCTGCCTCTGCCCATGTGCATTCTGCACACTCAAAAAAAAAAAAAAAAAAAAAAAAA